CCAGGGTTCGGCTGGGATGGGCCCGCCAAAGCAGCAAGCCTGGTCTTGCTACTGCGCTGTTCCCACAGAGCTCAGCTATGTTACTCAGCCAGCATGGCAGCTTGCTCTTTAAATAGCTCCAGATAAACCCGGCTGCTGGGGCACCGCAGCGGGAGCAGCCCCAGTGCACACAGGCCAGGAGCGATGCGCTGTCCTGCACCCCAAAGGCAGTTCAAGCTGGGCCCGCCAAAGCAGCAAGCCTGGTCTTGCTACTGCGCTGTTCCCACAGAGCTCAGCTATGTTACTCAGCCAGCATGGCAGCTTGCTCTTTAAATAGCTCCAGATAAACCCGGCTGCTGGGGCACCGCAGCGGGAGCAGCCCCAGTGCACACAGGCCAGGAGCGATGCGCTGTCCTGCACCCCAAAGGCAGTTCAAGCTGGGGGCTGCGTGGCCAAAGGTCTCAGAGCCCAGAGAGCTCCCCAACACCAGCGCTCCAAGGTCCCCAAGCACTTTGCCAAGCGGCTAAGAGCACCCGCCTGGGATGGGAGAGCCCATCCTGCCGTGTTCCCAGGCACATGATTCCCTTGGGAAAGGGTGCTGGGCCCTGGCACCCCCTGCCCCCGGCACACCAAGCTCACCTGGCCAGTTTGCGCTTGTCATGGGGGTGCAGCTTGGCCGCCATCTCTGGGTCCACCTGGCTCAGGCGGCGATGGAGCTCAACGCCATCCAGCTGCTCCAGCTCCACTTTCCTGTCGGTGACCGGCTCAGGGGCCACGCTGGCTTTCTCCTGTGGGGCACAGGGCAGCCCCGAGTCAAGCCACCCATCTGTGTGCGAGGACAGCACAAGCAAGAAGATCCCCTAGACCCACAAGGTGAATGAGGGGCTTTTGGTTCTCCTTACCCCGCTCTAGCAGGGAGACCACCACGCCTGGTCGCAGGAAGCCTGCCCTGAACATGGAGCTCACCCTTTCCCAGAGGGATAAGCAGCCCCCCCAATGGTACCTTGGTGTTGATAAGGACCTTCCAGAGCAGGGACTCGATGTAGTAGTTGGTTCCTCCCACAACAATCGGGATTTTATCTCGGGCAAAGATATCTTCAATGTGCCACAGTCAGGGAGCGTAAGCAGAGATGCACGGCAGAGAGGGAGGGCTGCGGGGAGCAGCAGCCTGGGGCCCAGACCCCACCCTCCCAGCCCCACAGAGCCAGTCAGGCTGTAACACAGGGTTATAGGCGTCCCTTATCTCTCACCATCCTCTGCTACCTGTGCCAACTACTACCAAAACTCAGGGACACCCAGGGACTGCCAGGGCGGGCAATCCCAGGCTCAGCACTGTTGCAGTACAGCAGAGATCTTCCCCAACCAGCCCCGAGTGAGGGGCCACCCTGAGCATTAGCTGAGTAAAAGATGCTCCAAGCCCTCCTCGTCAGCAGTATCCTCTGAAAACTGGAGTTAGCTGCAGCGTGGAGAGCCCAAGGCTGACGCAAACACTGATCTCTCTTGCAGGCCTGGCTGTGGAGGGGGGGGAAGTCCGTATCTGCTTGGCCAGGCAGGCTGCAGCGTGAAAGGATATCAGAGCCACGGCTTTGTCTCTGAAATCCACCACCGTGTAGTTAGAGACAAGAGGATCCACAAAGCTGATCATGTGGTGTCTGCACAGACGCTGCTCCTGGGGAGAAACCTTGTTCGTGATGATGTCCAAGCCCTTGTACACCTGGCGAAGAGAAGAGCCTGTCATTCACCTCTGCACCCCACGAAACCCCCACCGGCCACTGCTCCTTCCCCCACGCACAGCCGCCACCTGCCCCTATCACCCCTCCAAGCCCCTCGCCTCTCTCTGGAGAAGCAGGCAGCACAGGCAGCGGCACATGTCCCGTTCAGGCGAAGGAGCAGGAATCTCGCCAAGGCCTGCTCCTGCCAGGGCTAAACTGCCTCTCTCTGGTGTTTGTTCCTGCCCATGGGAGATGAACCGTGAGTCCAACCGCTCACGACTGCTTTCCTGGTCTGATACAACCCTCCAGTTAGAGGTCAGAAAGGCTGATTGAGCGATCAGAGAGTGGTGTCAGAGCCCGGTCAGCGTAACCAGCCAAGCCTGGCTCCGAAGCACAGAGCTCCGATACAAGAGCAGCTGTCTCCGAGCTGCAGGCTCCTTATCTGCTGCCGCTGCAGCTAAAAGCTCCGGCGTGCCCCTCTCCAAACACCCATCTCCAGCACAGCGCCGCGTCTCGTTTGGGGACAAGGATCACCGCTCCCCGCAACCCTCAAGGATCTCTCTGGATGCAACATGCAACTTCACGGAGCCTCTTAAACACACACAAACGGTCTCAGCTCATGCACACCTTAAAAGCCTGGTGTACCGCCCGCTGCGTGCTCTCACCGAGACCGTCGGGTATGGAGGGGTCAGGTACAGGGGGGAGCAAAACACAGCGGTGCGGATCAGTGACCCCAGGGGAAAAGAGGCACTGCCCTGCACCAAGGTGCCAGGAGACACTGGTGAGGGCAGCCAGCAGCATCTCACCGCTTCGAGGTGCGTCTTCAGCTGAAAGCAGAGCAGAAAGAAAAGCCACCCAAACCAACCCCTCGGCAGCGTTGTTGGTAAAGAGCCAAGGCAACCTGCGAGCCCAGCAGCACGCATCCGAGCCACAGCCCAGATCCACCCTCCAGGCTGCGTAAAGCAACTGCCACAGCCCAGCCCGCAGACCCAGGCGGTGCGAGTACCGGAGCCGCCCCAGCTTGGCGTCCCGTCCCCACGGCTCGGCGGGGTCCCGTGAGCAGAGCCCTTTCAGAGGAGAGCACCTTTCACCCAGGAGAAGGGACGAAGGCTCCTTGCCCTGCTCCTCATGGCATCCGAACGCAACCTTCCTCAGCACGGGGTGCCCCTGTGCCCCGGCACTGCCCCCGGCACGCGTGTCAGTGCGTGCTGAGAGGCTCTGCAGAGCCGTAGACAAGCAGGGACCGGAGCAGGGACCCGCATCCCGAGGGTGCTGGCAGCGGGCACGTGGTCGCAGCGGGGCACATAAAGCCTTTCTGTCCAGCCCAGCTCTGCGCTGTGCCAAGGACTGAGCACCCTCCGTGCCAGGCGGCGGCGAAGGCTCTGCTTTGTGCCGTGGTCACAGCGAGGATGTATTTAGCTCCCAGCACCTTCCTGCTTGGAGCAGTCTCCCAGCTTGGAATAAACTGGGCTGATGGGAGAAAGGACTGGAAATGGCTGCGCTCATTTCCTCCTCCATCACTCAGAAACCACCCCAGCCACAGGGCCACACTTCCAGAAACAAATTTCCCTCTAATCCCCTCTGAGAAGCTGCCAAGCCTCAGGCTGCAGCGCAGCCTCCACCCACTGCTTCCCTTGGTCCCAGACAGAAGGACAAGGTGACACAGAGGTGACCCACGGGCAGAAGGCACCGAACGGCAGCAAGGGACGATTGGAGGTTAGTAGAGCAGGGAAGCCCGATCCCTGCCCGGAGCAGTCATGCGAGCTGCTGGGGCGGCTGAACCGGCTGCAGCAGGGCAGACACTCCCCGTCTTGCTTAACTCTTGCACTTGCTGCTCCGAGAGCCAGAGCCAGCTCCTGCTCCGTCCCTCGGAGGAGAAAGGCTCGCCTGGGGGCAGGAAGCAAAGGGGGAGCGGGAGGGCAACCAAATGCTCTTCCTTTCTGCCCTGCAGAAACCCAGCTGGCTCCAGGGGATGGCGAACAGACAGGAGGAGAGGCCCAAGAGGCAGCTCGCTGCCAACATGCCCCGTGGCTGGCTGCAGCCTATTGATCCCCTTCCATTACCCAGCCCGGGCTGAGCAGCACCATTCAATGCAGGTCTCCAGTCGGCCCCAAAAGCCTTTGAATTCGGTGAGCTTTGGCTCCGTGCCTTCTCTCCCCCTGGCAAGGGCCAGTCCAGCCCTCCAGCTCCGCCGACTCCCACTCGTCTGCCTGAAATCATAGCCAACACAGAGGGCTGACGGGGAGGCTCGGAGGTAGCCGGGAGTTCCCAGTGCCCTGTGCGGGCAGAGCCGGCATTTACAGTTCAGGCTCCAATCCCCCAAGGTTCTCCCGGAGATTATACACCGAGAGCCTCCCCGAATATCTGGCAACAAGAGGAGGAATGCAGTGTCAGTGTGTGGGCTGGGAGGAAACAAAGGCGGCCTTTTACACACACCCAGCAAAGCCCAGAGAAGGTTTCCACCAGCTGGCTGTCGGCAGGGCCTCGCACCGAGACGTCCTCCCGACACTCATTTCTATTTTCAGCAAGCGGCTCAGATAAGCCTTTGTTGCTTTCTAAGGCCTCAAAACAGATTAGCGGCAGCCTGGAGCAGCAGGCCTCCGAGGCACCGAATACAAGCCGGGGACTAAAGATGCTTAGCCTTGACAGCGTCCTCCCGCCTCTGCCGCTGAAACCCCCGGGCAGGTCAGCCCCACAGCTCACTGCACTGGAAGGTCAGCGCCATCTCCCCTTTTAAAAGGTGGGGAAACTGAGGCATGAGGCACAAACACCAGCGATCCTCAGGAAACGGTGCCTGTGAGGATCCTCAGCGTGCAGCCCGGGAAGGGTGGACTCTCCCAAACCCTCCCTCAGCCACCCGTTTCACGCACAATCCCAAACTCCGTCCCCTTGTCCCCATCTGCACGAGAGGGGGAAAGGCATTGTCCTTGCCCCGAGTGCAGGGATCACTGCATCGAAGGTGACACGGCGGCTGTGCAGCATAGGGACCCCAGCCACATCCCAGCCACCTACAGCCGGGAAGAGTGTGACGACTTCAGAGGCGCCAAGGGATCTCCCAGGTGGAGAGCAGCATGGAGGACCCAAACCAAGCTAGGGTGCAAGGAGAGCACGACTCACTCCCAGCTCTGATCCCTGCCACGAGAAGGATGTCAGCAAAGGCTCTTAAGATGCCCTGACTTGACGTAAGAACGGCCAAATATGCTACAACAGCCCCTGGAGAAGGACTGCATCGCCACTTCCAAGGGTGGAATCCAGAAGGGACAGTGGGATCAGGAGCAGACGGGGCCCTCCAGCAAGCTGGCACGGGGATCGCTGCATGCTCACCGCTCAGCCAGGAGCGGGACTGGCTTCACCCCGCCTGGCTTCCCCAGGGAACGACTTACTCCTAAAGGAAACTCATTGGGATGACAAACCGCAACAGAAAGGACAAAAAGAAAGATTAAGAGGCCATCAGATTAACCAGAGCTCCTGAGCTGCACGCAGGCAGCAGCTAAGTCTGTCATTTGACCATAGTGACTCAGGGCCATGACAAAAACGTCCCGGAGATAGAGGGGTGCCTGTGTGCGGGAACAGGTGGGCTCGGGGCTCCCCGGCCCCTTCCCGAGCCTGGCTCCGGCTCCAGCAGCTGCCCAAAACACTGCCAGCATTTGTCAGCGCTCCATGGAGCCCGCACGGGGCACGGCGATGAATGGACAGAGGGGGCCGAGGGCGACACGGTCGCCGGCAGCTGTCAGTCGAGAACGAGCAATGGGATTTTTTAAAAACCCAGCGACTCTTCCGCAAGGACACCGGAGCCAGCTCTGCGTGGCAGAGGGGAGACAATATTCCACGGGAACAAAGCCAGCAAGAAAGCAGACCCAGTTGGCTGGCTGCGGCCGCCTAAGCGGGGCACGGGGGTTAGTGGAGCATGGTGGGGGAGGCGCAGACGCGAGCTGCTCAAGGCTGTTGGGGCCGAGGAGAGGCAGGGCTCCCCCGCCTCGCCGCCCCGAGAGACCGTGCCGAAAGCACGCTGCGTTACAGGATAAAGCAGAGGAGCTGCTCGGCTCTCGCTCCACAGTCACGCTAGAATGAGATTAAAAGGAAAGGAGGACAAGAGCCACTCAAGCCCGGATGCCATTGGGCGCCTGCAGTCAGAGTCCTCCCAGCGCCTGCATTCCCATAGTGGGACTTGAAACAACCAGAGCACAAAATACACGCTTCAAAACATCCACCAGCGTGAAACAAGAATTCGCAGCACGCCAGTCGGCTCCAGCCGCGTCCGCAGAGCTCGGGATGCAGCAGGAGCCTCGTGTTTGCAGGATCGCTCGAGTCAGCAGCCGCTTATAGAGGGGTTTGGGTTGGAAGGGACCTTACAGATCCTCTAGTTCCAACCCTGCTGCCATGGGCAGGGACACCTTCCACTAGAGCAGGTTGCTCCAAGCCCCATCCAGCCTGGCCTTGAACACTGCCAGGGAGGGGGCAGCCACAGCTTCTCTGGGCAACCTGTGCCAGGGCCTCACCACCTTCACAGTGAAGAATTTCTTCCTAATATCTAACCCAAACCTGCCCTCTTTCAGTTTGAAACCATTACCCTCGTCCTATCACCACTTTAAGTACTGAAAGGCCACTCTAAGGTCTCCCCAGAGCCTCCTCCAGGCTGAACAGCCCCAACTCTCTCAGCCCGTCCTCACAGGGGAGGTGCTCCAGTCCCCTGAGCATCTTCTTGGCCTCCTCTGGACCCGCTCGAGCAGGTCCATGTCTTACTTATGCTGAAGGCCCCAGAGCTGGACACAGCACTGCAGGTGGGTCTCATGAGAGTGAGGTAGAGGGGGAGAATCACCTTCCCCAGCCTGCTGGCCACGCTGCTTTTGAAAGCCGCACTTCCCCGATATTAAAGCCTGCTGTACGCTGGGCTGGTGGTCACCGCAAGGTCCACGAACCTCAGCACTCACAGTACGCAAACAGGAACAACTAACCCAACAAAAGCTCTAGGGCTTGTCCAGATCTTGTACTAGTAAAACTGCACCAGCCGAGCTCTGCTCGGAGA